GCTTGTTTGGAAACACATGATTGTTTAGGTTAGGATATTCTGGATAGTGGATAGCATGAATTGAGATCAAATTGGTATTTTTGTGATATTCCATGATTTTATTGATTGGAATGTGATTATCTTAATACATGAAACAATTTGGTGATATTTGAGCATTTACGAGCATATTATTTTCGCTCTCATTTTGTTGGATTGAGTGTGTCGAATTTGACATTGGTATTCTAGAACCTGCATGTTAAATACTGTCGAGATTACATATGAACATGATGCTTAAAAATGATTTGGGCACCTTAGGATTAACTATTCCATTTTCCCCCACTAAATTGCCTACCCATGCATTTTCCCCTAGTTAACCACTTTTGAGCCTATTCTCATTCTTTTGTTTTCACCACATTTATAAACCGAGCCTTTTTATTTTATCCCTGTTTTATACCCTTTTCAGGGCAAGTGAATAATTTAACCATTGTATGCTCCATCAAAAAAAGAGAGAGAAAAAAACAGCAGTTCGAAAAAGAAAAAAAGGAAAAGAAGATGTTGTTCGGAAAAAAAGAGAGAAAAAAAGACATGAACAAAAAATGGAAACAAAACAACAAAAATGTGAAAAAGAAAAAAGAAAAAATCAAATGCATTTTGGAAAGAATTTTGTTGTTTGATAGTTGAGCTTATTATTTGTTAGTTAGTTCCTTGCCTTGAACTTTTAGCCATATGTTTAGCCTTTTCCGCACCTTTACCTAAGTCCCGTTACAATTAACAAAAGACCCTTTGATTTATGCATCTTGTTCTCATTAGTAGTAGGGATTTGATTGACTTACAGGCCTATGGTAATATCGTGTCGGTTCTGACATTGAGTGTTTCTTTACCCCAAACACATTGAGTGCTTTGAGTGAATCCCGGTAAGGTATTGAATTATGGGCATTGAGATTAATGAATGAATGGATGTTACAGTTACATTTGACTTGTTTTGATTTGTGATGTTTAATTGATTGATTTCTTGACTTGAATAATTATTGTAGTCTCTACCTTGCTTCCTTGGATGTGAAACTTGACAAAGGACGGTAAATAAAGTTTTTTGACTTATTTGATTATATCATACTTGAGGACAAGCATGAGATATGTGAAGGGGAATTTGATGAGTGTTCAAAATCATTAATATTTGCTCGTTATTTCTTCGAACTTGTGGATTTATTGCTGCTGATTTGGTTGTGTTATATTTATTTTCGTACAGGGCCTTACTTTCTAGAATTAGTGATAAAATGGGTGCATTCTGCATTTTTATTATTATTTGGTCATGGCTGGAGACATGGTCATGACTCTGGGCACGACGCGGTCTGACGTGGTAGATTCTAGAAGCTCTAGTCAGCGGAGGTTTCTAGAAGATCTACTCAGCTCTCCTTCTGGAAGATGGACGAGCAGAGTTGTATTAGGAGACTTGTTTAGAGTTTGAATTTAGGAAAAAAAATTATCTTTAGGATTATTTTATTTTAATTTCTTTGTTTATCCTTAGGCTTTGAGAGGCTATAAATACCCTCTTGAGGTAAACCTAAACACACATCTCAGATTACAATTCTCTTTTTCTTTCTAGTTTTATTAAAGCTTTCTCTTTTATTTTACTTTTCAATTCTTTCATTTTTCTTTTATTTTCAAGATTTGTTTTTAAATATGCTAAGTATGAATTTTTTCATGCTTAGCTAAATTTTTCATAAGTCGAGACCTGATGTGATGACTTAATTCCAAATGGAGAATTGAAACAAGCCCTTAATATCTTCGGAATATCTCTCTGAATCTTTGCGCTTATTTTTCGAAATCAAAACAGTTTTCAAAATCAAAGATAAACTTTGATCTAGATTGTTGTTGTGATTAAACGTGTGGGAGGAAGATTCGACTTATAGAAAGCACATTCGACTTCCTGGGAACACACTTGGCGAGATAGCTTCGCCAAGAGGGAATTGAGATCAGAATTGACGGTTATAGAAGCAACAATCCGAGTCATACGCCATGAACTTAAACAGTAATTGATCTACGACAATTGATGTTGATTAGATCAATTTCCGAAGTCGGAATCAAAGATTTCCTTGGGTATTCGGTATAAAAAATAGAGTCACGAGGATTGCCCTTGTAGACAAAGTAACCGACGTGAATCCTGAAAGGAAAATCTAATTCGATGATCAAACGAAAATTGAGTCAAAGCGAAGTTTGAGGTTGTTTTTACCATATCTACTTTTCGACTTAAAATCTTTTATTTATTTTTACTTCAAATCGCCTATATTACTGTTTAAAAATCTTTTTACCAAAACCCCCCATTTACTACTTTCACGCCTGGCTTAAACAAATCGAACAGAAATTTATAATTTTCCAAGTCCCTGTGGAATCGACCCTTATTTCTCTTTACTACGCATTTTCTTCATTTATCAATTGAGAAGAAGGAATTTATTTTTACATCGAAACGACAATTGTCAGAAGGATTAATGAAGATTAAAACTAAGTGGGGGATGTTTTATAATAGATTTAAAGAAATGGGTTTTTAAATGACATGTTGATGTATGTGTTTTATTGAGGTTTATTAGTAAAATTGACTTGTCAAAGGATTGAACAAGAGATTAGAAGCATGAGATATGATTAAAAACATGTTTAGAAAAATGGTATGATTCTTGAGTTGAGATGTTCCATGAAGATGTTAGATGTTAAAGATTGAAAAATGAAGTAAAGTTAGTTGGGTTGAGTAAAGAGGAGTTAAATAGTATTGTTGGAGGTAAAAGTATGAGATTAGAGGGAAAATTAAGTGAAATTCGAGCTGAAAAATGGTAATTATGGGCAATGAAATCGATATCGATAGAACAATATCGATACTATAGGTGTAAATAGGTAGAAATGGGAAGAATAGTATCGGTACCGATGCAAGGGGTATCGATACTAGCAAAGGGAAGTGTCGATACCGTGGATCCATAATTTAAAAATAGTATAGATACTGAAAGGGAGTATCAGTACCATAGTATAGTAGTATCGATACTGAGAGAAAGGTGTCGATACTAGGCAACACAGAATATAGAAATGGTATCGATACTGAAAGGGGTATCAGTACCATAATATAGAAGTATCGGTACCAGGGTAGTAGTACCGATACTATTGAGCTTGGAACGGCAAAATAGGTTGAAATTGTTATAGAAATTGAAATAATGATATTTTGAATATTCTTAAAGTATAATGTTAAGGATTATACTAACATTCGTATGTTATGTGTACTTAATGGATACTTGTGTATATCGAAACCAAGCTCCTGAATCTAGCAAGAAAATGGAGAAAGATAAAGTTGTTGATTAGCCAGACGTCTCTACACATTATTATCAGGGATTACCAGGTGAGTACCTTATTGTAAGTATTTGAGATGAAGAACATTCAAATTAGAATGTTTAAATTTATATATGTTTTATAATATTGATTATGTTTCTTTATATGTATGGAAAGCATATTATGAATGAGTTTTAGAGTGCGAACTACTCTAAACCGAATCCATAATTAAAATGCATGAAAGGATGCATTAAGGCATGGAAGGATGTCATAATTAAAATGAATGAAAGGATGCATTAAGGCATGAAAGGATACCATAATTAAAATGCATGAAAGCATGCATTAAGGCATGAAAGGATGTCATAATTAAAATGCATGAAAGGATGCATTAAGGCATGAAAGGATGTCATAACTAAAATGCATGAAAAGATGAATTAAGGCATGAAAAGATGTCATAATTAAAATGCATGAAAGGACGTCATAATTAAAATGCATGAAATGGTGCATTAAGGCATGAAAGGATGTCATAACTAAAATGCATGAAAGGATGCATTAAGGCATGAAAGGATGCCACAATTAAAATGGATGAAATGATGCATTAAGGCACGAAAGGATGCCATAATTTAAATGCATGAAAGGATTCCATAACTAAAATGCGTGAAAGGATGTCATAATTAAAATGTATGAACGGCTATATTAATGCATGAAAAGAGACCCTAACTGAAATTAATGAATAATTACTAAAGAAAAATGAACGAAAGAAAAATATGTTGGACATACTAAAAATGTTTATGATGATAATATGACAGAATTTTGGTTTTAATAAGAGTAACCTAACTAATTCTTATGGATGATACAACTTAGTTTGAAGTCAAATAACCATGAGATACTTATGTATACCTTAATGTTCTTTACAATATTATATCTCACTAAGTAAATGTTTAACGTTTGTTGTTTCCCACGCGTAGGTAAAAGCAGAGATTAACTAAGTAAAGAGTGCATTTGTAGCAGCGGTGATCATCAATTTAAGGTGGACTCATCAGTGACACCAAGACAATCTAGTTTATTTTGGAAAAATTATCTGGCATGTAATCACAGTATTAAAAATGCTCTTAACTTTAATTAAGTAGAACTTATAACAGTTTACGACTAATGTTTTGCTTTATATTAAAATGTTATGTTTTCAGAAATTGAAAAACAAAAATTTTATGGGTTTTTCAAATGAGAAATTGTTATAAAGATGATGTGTCATCTGTATCTCGTGTACGGACAAGTATACGGGAGATGGGTGTTACACTATGACACCATTTTAAATTAATCTATAAATTTTTAAAATGTTAATATCAATCCAAACCTCATTATAAGTTAATTAATAATTCACTTTTAAGTGTTTTTAAATTCACGATCTTTGATATTCAAAAAACAATTCACAATCTTTAGAATTCATTAAATGAACTTATTAACTTAATAGTAAAATAGGGTGTCTTATAATTCAAACATGATCTTATACATATGTAACAAAGGAGACTAAGCTGAGAGCCGGCCCTCTTGTCTTATAATGAACATCAAAACAAAGAATCGCCCATGCAAATGCCATATTATTCATATAGGCCAACATTGGGCAAGATATAGGCGTAAAAACCAATGGAACTTTACATCAATTAATGCCTCCATCGACGATTTCATAGCTTGATCATTTAAGTCCCCAAGATTCCATGGAAACCCAAAGTTTCCTTTTCAAGAAGAAAGCAATGGAAAGTGCTGAAACATTGGTCTGCGTGAATCGAGTGAAGCAAGAAGAACCAGAAGAATGGGACGAAAGTATGCCATTGCCCGGAGACATCATCGAAGGCTTTTCGGAAAATGACGGCAACGACGATTTATTCACTCCCGCAAAAGGAAGATCAGAGCTTAGTTCACAGCTACGGAAGATAAAGGTGGAGACAATATGGGTGAAGGTTCGAAGAGGTAATGGAACACTTAAGCTTCGTGTTCGTATCGTGGCAGACAAGAGTTCGATGTTGCATAAGAGGTATACGATAAGAGCGGCTAGAGACGATAGACATGTTGCTGTTTTGGGTGATTTAACGTTGGAGCAATGCACAACGCTACAAGGTATGTGGATTGAAATCAAGCAACATATGAGCATGCTCCATGCATGTATGTATGTTTAATGATTGAATCAACAATGCAGAAATGAGCAGGAGGATTGTGAATGTGGATTTTAGAGGGTTCAACAGAAAGGAAGTGAAGTATGATTGGAAGAAAACGGTGGGCACTTACTTGCCGGATCAAGGATCCACTGTGGTTAGTTCCATGCTTTTCATGCCCTTTACAGGTGAATATTACATCGAGGCTACCATTTCAAGGTGCATGGCCTGGTTTTCAGCTGCCGTTTCTTCAGGGGCTCCTCTTGTCTTCGTCAATATCCAAACTGAACAAACTGTCACCTCGGTACATTCTGGTTTTGGTCCCTTGACTATATTAAATTTTGGCTTTTAGTCTTTGAATTCTCATAGTTAACTTAATCTGTCTGTTTTGCATCTATGGCAACATATTTTCCCTCCAAGGAGAAAACAAATCCTACAGCAAAGGAAATATGTCGAGGGAAGCAGCAGAATACAACTTTACCTGTAGAATTAGTGCAAGGCATAAGGCTATGGTTCTTACCAGGAGTTGAAGAAGTGTCACTTGAAATGATACCCAGACCGGGTGAAACTCGATTCGGAATAGAAATAAAACGAACCGATGAGGTAAATTAATTCTGAATCATCCATCTTCCTTTTTGTTCTATTAATCATCTCAGTCATCATATTTACACATTGCTTTTCTATAGGGTTTCATATGTGTATTCTCAGTGACAGAAGGCTCGGCTGCCGACCGAGCTGGCTTGCAGCAGCTACTTGCAGAAGCAGATGACAAGAAGCTTCTTCTTGTTATATCTCGATTAGAAGGGAAGAGCGTTATGCCATCGAGCGTTGATTCCGATGGGTTCATACATTGTTGTGATCACAATGAAATAAAGGACACATTAACTTCGGCTATTGAAGGAATGGATATCGTTCAACTCCATATCATGGCCTGGCCTAATCAAACCCGTCTCTAGAACTTATCGGCCGCCACGGCTGCGTCCCTGTGGCCTCTAAATGGATACCATCACTCGACGCGGGACGGCCGGAGTGGTGGTATGAGTCTATGAGCATTTCATTGACTCAAAAGTTATTGTAAATTAGTAGCTACTGCATTTTACCATAAAATAAGGTATTAAGCTTCAATGTCAGCTAAAGATTGCATGAGAATGAATGAATTACCTTAAGCTATTGGCTTTACAAGTTTATTATAGGAATGGAAACGGAACGGGTTCAGGGTGGGTTTTGCTCTTACCGTCCCTATCCCCGAAATGAATTCCCGTCCCCATCGGGTTTTTTATCGGGGCGCCTCGTCGGGGAATTTTTTTTACCCCGTACCTAAACCCGATCCTGAAAAAAAACGAGCAACCGTAGTTTTCATAAAAAATAGAAAAAACGACCATAAAAAAAATTGAAAAATTAGTCTACATGATTTACAACTCAAACTAAATCACAAATTCAAACCCAATTCTAAATAATTGTCTAAACTCCAAAATAAAACACATACATAATTAAATACAAACTTTTCTGATATTCAAATCATACAACGAAGATGCATACGCAATATTAAGTCAAATAAAGTCATCCAAAACCGTCGTGTCACTTTTGTCACTTTCTTTGGTAGCTCCCTACATTGAGAAATTTATCAAAAAATCAACTAAATTTCACTCTAATAATTATAAAAGTTAGGGTTTATGGTTTAAATGTTTAGGGTTTGTATTATATAATTAATATAAAAAATAAAAAATATTATATATTATATATAATTAATATAAAATATATAAATTATTATATATATAATTAATATAAAATATATATATATATATATATATATATATATATCAGGGCGGGGCGGGGATACCTTGCCCCTGAACCCGAACCCAAAAAATCCCTGAATTTTACTCCGATACCCGATCCAATATTATTCAAACCAACCCAAACTTAGCCGGGTTTCGAGTTTCCCCGTCAGGTTCGGGACGTTCTGTCATTCTTAGTTTATTATGTTAATATCAATATTGGCTTCACAATACAAAGCACATGATTTTTTGTAAACATGTAGTGCAAAATCTAAACTTGATAATCTTATAATTTTTTTATAAATATGATTTATATTATTTAAGATTTATGATTGAATTTTTTTAATTTAGTGTTCAATGATTATGCTAGAATTTAGAATTTAAAATATTCATCATTTTGATTTTTAGGTTTTTATAATTTTTATGATGCAATAGTTGAAGATTGTAAAATCGTTGCGCCTCACACAATAAAAATAAAATAGGTAAATTATGTGTTTAATATTTTAATATTCATTACTTTGATTTTTAATTATCTTTTTTTATAAATTTTATGATGCGATAGTTAAAGATTGTAAAATCATTGAGCCTCACACAATAAAAAGATAGAATAAATTATGTATTTAATATTTAAACTATCAGTTTTTATATGTTTTAGTATCTAAATTTTAATTTTTTTTAAAATTATCTCTAACGTTTAGTTTTTGTTTGATTTTAGTATATCGGTTAAAAATTCATCGGGTGTGACACCTTTTTATAGGTAAATTGAATGATTCATCATTCAACTATCTTCTCACTCCTATTTTGACCACTAAAATTTATTTTTTAATTTAATTACTTAACTTTCAAATTACTTTTAATTTAATCACTCTAAATTTTAAATTTATTTTTTAATTATATATTAATAAAATAATGAAAAATGTCATGTCTCAAAAATTATTGATAAAATAAATTAGAGTGATTAAAAATATGAACAATTTGAAAGTTGCATAGTTAAATTGAAAATTTTTAAACTTTAATTCTAAATAAGAATGAGAAGATAGTTGAGTGATGAATAATATAATTTATCCATAAAAATGTATTGACATTTTTTTAACGATGAAGTACTAAAATGAAATAAAAACTAAACGTTAGGTATTATTTTAAAAAACTGAAAGTTTAGTACTAAAATAGACTAAACTTAATAGTTTACAAACTAAATACGTAATTTACCTTAAAATATTGAAAAAATTAAATTAAAAAATTAACATGAAAAGAAAGAAAGAAACACCAAAGTAAAATACTGTCAAGTTTAAGGACTAAAAGTTTATTTATCCCTATATTTGAAAGTAATAGAACTTATAGGCACGTGGGTTCCTCTATCAAATCCGCTTAATTGAAAACTCCAAATTTTTTAAAGATTCCGCTCACATACTCCTCTCTCTGTATCTCTTCCCTTCCAGAGAGAAACTGGTCACTGTCAAATGCTCTGTTAAACTTAAAAAAGAAGACCCCACTCAAGCAAATCCTCCGTTTCCTCTATATTTCCCTCTCTGCTTCTCTACCCCACACTCTCAAACAAACAAAAAGGGAATTGGGTTATGGACGGCGGTGCTTCCTACTACCCACGTACAGTCGAAGAAGTATTTCGAGATTTCAAGGGTCGTCGAGCTGCCATGGTTAAAGCTCTCACTCTTGGTATTACTCCTCAACCCTTTTTTTTCATTGCTTTTTTGAAATTCCTACTCTTTGTCTTGCACGTTTGTAATTTTCTTAACCACACCCGTTCTTGGTTTTCATCTTTTAAAGTTTGTTTTCTTTTTTACTTATTTACTTTTCTGGGATTGCTTTTGTTGGCAGATGTTGAAGAGTTTTACAAGCAGTACGATCCAGGTACGGGGTTTTTTGATACTCAGCTTTCGTTTTGTTGAAATGATTTATCTGGAGAATTGAAGTTCGAAATTTTTATTTTCATTGTATTTTCTTTTTTTATAAATTAAACTGAAAAATCCGAACTTTAGTGTGAAATGGAATGAAACTTTCAGTGCATGCAACAATATTTACAATTCTAGTTGTTGTTGCTGTTTAATTCTTATGTCATGAAGAAATAATTATCAGTTTTTGAACACCCATTCTATGCTTAGCTTGAACTTTACTTTCTAAGATAAGAATGATTTGTTTTGAATTAAGAGGGATCTAGGAAGACTAGATTAATTTTCAACTTTTTGTTGTTATTTCTCATGAGTTTTTTTTTCCTTTTCTACAGATGTAGATTCTTTTGGTTTCTTTTGTTTATTTAAGCTCATTATTTAGTTGGTTATTGGTTTGTAAGATGGATTTGATTTTGGATTAAAAGTACGTTCATCGTTTTGCCTCGTTTGGTTACAAATGCATGAAATGGAACTGAGATAATAAAAAATTTAAAATTTTGGTTCCAGAGAAGGAGAATCTTTGCCTGTATGGATATCCCAATGAGCAGTGAGAGGTGAACTTACCTGCTGAAGAGGTGCTGATAGGGAAGCGGTGGCGGTTTAATAAACGTTGCTCTTGTTGAAGAATCAAACCTAGAAAGCTCTAGACTCCATGAACAATAATGGGGAATGAATAGGGGAAAGTGGCAGCAGCAACTAGGGTTCTTAGGGTTTTTTTAGGTGTTGAAAACAGGGTAAGGAATAATATTAGAACAATATAAATAAAAGATAAAGAACTAAAAAATAAAGTATGATAATTAATAAATCAAAAGATCTCCCTTGTGAAAGTGGATGGCAAAGGTGATGATGGTGATGATGGATTTGTGGAAAATAGATGGATAATGTCCTATCGTGTCCTACTAGTTGCAATGAAAACGCAAACACGATAATATGGCTCTAACCAACCCTCCTAGTCTCGATGAAAAGGCAAATTGGAGTGTGAAGATTAATCTCCTTCACAAACTTGAAAGAACTCCAGGAGAAGAAGCTTCGAAGGCACAAGACAATCAGCACTTGCAAAAACGAACTCTCGTTGTATTATTAATCAAAGAAATATGATTTACAAAGTTAAATGAAGCCTCTTATATATAGGGGCTGAGTTTTAAAGATCCTAAATAACTAATGAATAAAATAATAATAAACTAAACATGTCTTAACTCTAATTTCTAATAAAATAATAATAACTAAATATAATGTTTTAACTCATCCTTAATTCCTAATAAAATAATAATAACTAAATATAATGTTTTAACTCATCCTTAATTCCTAATAAAATAATAAATCTAATCTTAAAAGATAATGCATCATCCTATATTAAATTATATTACAAATAATCAATATAAATATTGAAAATTCGTAATTCAACATGGCCCGACCACTGTTGGCTTTCTGTATGATTGCTTCAGATAATTTCTCCATGATTTTATTTGTGAGTGGCGAGAATGAGTGTTTAACAACCATGTCAATTGGTTTGTTAAAGTAATCCCTTAAGTCTCCTAAGTGTGGTTCATGTATTAAGAATTCTCGACAGGAGATTTGTGGATTGTAGAACCTGTTTAGTTGGCAAGGAAACTCATATATAAGATAAAGCTCATTAAAAACACTTTTAAAAGTATGAGTAGAAATATCAGAAATATATTTTATCGTGATATACATCTTTGATATGTTCGATTCTCGGAATAATAGTATACTTAAGAGTATATCTTCGTGGTAGTGCATCGCCTACTAAATTTTTTTTACCTCGGTCTTTGGACTCTCATAAATCGTGACTCTTCATTGATATGGCATAATGATTAGAGCTTTCAGGTGGTAACTCGTCAGGAGGGTCACCTAGCACTATTCGACAACTCTTGGCGATGGAAGATAGTGTGGACCAGTCTCGTGTTGCTTTTACTTTCTCATCATTTACATGGATTCCCTGTGCACGAAATATAAAGTCTGTGGAGTTGTTCAAGTCATGTTTCGTCATTAAGATGAAGTCACGACTAAGCCTTTCATGGATGTAGCATTTTTGTAACAAATTTAACTCTTTGGTTTGTTCAAGATTGTATGTTTGACGAGGTATGATGGAACCTTGAATTAGATTGGTTTGATGTTTGTTTTCCTCTTTTCAGTGGCAATTCGTTAGGTAGATCACCTAACACTTCTTGAAAATCCTGTAAAAGAGATGAAAACACACTAGGCAAATCCTTATTAATGTTAGAAATCAAAATAATTGATTCCCTAAAGCGAACA